GACTGGTTAAATGATGGTGAGTAGAAAGCTGATAGAAATATGGACAGAAAAGGCCATATTGGGAGGGTCTCAGATGTAAATGATGAAGAGCTTATTGTAAGCTTGTTATAGAGTTGCAAGGAACTTAGCTGCATTCTGTTCATGCCCAAGAGCTATATGGGGTGCAGAGCTTAAGAGTTATGAACCAGATTATTTGGTGGAAGAAATTTCTAAGCAGCAAAGCATTCGTGAAGCTGCATGGCTACTCACAACAGCCTATGCTGAGTTTTGACAGAAGAGACATGACATAAAGCTGGAATTTATAATTAAAGGGGAAGCAGAGCATAAAGATTTGGAAAATTTGTTGCCTGGCCATGTGGTAGAGAATGAGAGGGCATTTTCAGGAGAAAAATTCAACGGTGCAGCCTAGCAACCATTTGCTAAGGAAATTAGTACAGAAGAAAGGGATTATCAAGAGGCGGGGAAAAAGGCCCTGAACACATTGCATAAGTCTCTGGGGCCACTTCTCCCATCATAGCCCAGAGGCCTAGAAGTACCAAATTTTTTCAGAGGACAGACCCAAGGCACCGCTGCCTTGTGCCACCTTAGGACACTGCTCCCTGCATCCAGGCCACTCCCATTGGAGCAGATTTGCCTAAAGTGGTCCCAAGTGTGGGTCATGCCCCAGCTGTGGACAGTGCAAGGCAGAGACCTTGGTGGTATCAATGTGATGTTAAGTCTGCAGGCTGGCAGAATGCAAGAGCAGCAAAGGTGTGGCATCCTCTNAGAGCTGCTTGAGGACGTGAAGGCCTAACTCCTGCACCAGTGTGCAGAGGACATCAAACATGGAGTCAAGGTACATAATTCTCCAGCTTTGAGATTTGATGTCTGCCCTGCTGGGTTTTGGACTTGTTTAGGGCCTGTTACCCCGTCTTTTGGCCTATTTCTCCTTTTGGAACAGAATATGTACCCTATGCTTGTCCTATCATTGTATCTTGGAAGTAGATAATTTGCTTTGATTTCACAGATGGGATCCTGGAGTTTTTTGAAACAAGTTAATTAAGACTTTGAGGACATGAACTTGAGGGGCTAGGGGTGGAACGCTGTGGATTGAATGGTGTCCTCCTAAGTCCATGTATTAGGAGCTAAACCCCCACTGTGACAGTGTTAAGAGGGTGAGAAATCCTATTATGGTAATTGTAAGGTGGGACCTTGAAGAGGCGATTAAATTGTGAGGACTGTGCCCTAGTAAATGGATTAATAAGTGGATAGTTTAATGCTGCTCACAGGCATGGTTCTGGGGACTTCAAAAGAAGAGCATGTATGGAGCTCTCTCTGTCTCTCTCTTACTTCTGCCTTTTTTGCAATGTCACCACTGAAGAAGGACCTAATCAGATGTGTTCCCCAGACTTTGCACTTCCAAGCCTCTGAAACTGTAAGCAATAAATATTGTTTTTTCACAAATTACCCAGTTTCAGGTATTTCTATTGTAAGCAACAGAAACAGTAATGCAAAGGGTCATCAAAAAGTCCATAGAAAGATTCATATTGTCTTTTAATTATATTTTCCCATGAACTTTTTGAAGTACCATTATATAGTGTGGTTGTTGTTAACAAAGCAAGCTCTCCTATGTCAGGACTGTTAGGGAATTTTGAATTCTAGCCCTGGGATCTAAGGAAAATTAATTTATATTTCTAAGCCACATCATCCTTCTCTAAAAATCCTTGTCATAGACATTTCTGATTTTCTTATGCTTTACCAGAAAGCTTAAGTGAGTAAATATTTGAATATGATTTATCCATTTTCAGTATGATTGGTAGAAAGAAATACTTGGGATTTACGGGTGATTTACTAAGAAAAGCAACAGTCTTAATAGCTTCTGGGATTTCTATATTTATTCTTATCCTAGTTTGGCATCCCACCTTCTTTTCTAAATTAAAGGAATGGTTAAAAGGAATACTTTATTACCTATAATTATCTTGTAATCTTAAGGTTTAAATCTTTCTTAATTTAAGACTATCTTAATGAGGCTAATTCTTCTTGTTGCCATAGTTCTTTCATATTCAATAATTGAGGTGATGGATACACTAAACTACCCTGACTTGA